TTTGTCCTATATCAAGAACTATGTATTTTGTCCTTTTATATATATTTTAAAAATTTTTAATCTTCCTTTTATTTCTATCTATTCATTTAGATCATTTGCTACGCCTCCAAAGCCCGTACAAATTGTCTCTGAATGCGTAGCCATGTTACGAGGTATAAAGGACATATCTTGGAAAGGAGCAAAGGGTATGATGAACGATCCAAGTTTTTTAAGATTATTACAAGAAATGAACTGTGAACAAATCACGCAGAGACAGCAACAAGCTGTCAGAGCACACTTAAGGAAGTCCACGAAAATGGATCAAATGGAGTCAATTAGTAAAGCTGGATATGGCCTTTATAAATTTGTCTTGGCCGTGTTAGATTATTGCACGGTCTACAGAGAGGTATTCTTCCTTCGTTTAAATGTGAAAAAGCAAATCTATCCCAATCACCACAAGGTTATATTCTCTTCTTTTAATATCAGAACATTTTGATTAGGTTAAGCCAAAGATGGAAAGAGTTCAAATGCTACAAATTGAATCTGAAAGAGCACAAAAAGCTTTAGAAAAGGAAGAACGTGAATTAAAACGAATAGAAAAGATTATAGAAGATCTGAACATTAAATACGAATCTGCTATGACGGAAAGGCAAAAGCTTCAAGAGGAAACACATCTTTTGCAACGAAGGTTAATTGCCGCCGACAAATTAATCGGTGGTCTCTCATCGGAAAATGTCCGTTGGCAAAAAGAATTGAAAGGATTACACGAAGAGGAAGAAAAGATCATTGGAAATTGTCTACTTTCTTCTGGATTTCTCGCCTATTGTGGACCATTTTCATACGAATTCAGGAACGATATGATTTATAATGATTGGTCGAGAAGCATCACGGAAAGAAAGATACCGCTTTCACAACCGTTTAATATACAAACACAGCTTAGCGATGATGTGGAAATTAGCAAGTGAGTTGAGCCAAAAAATTTATTATTTGATCACAGTTTATATTAAAATTGATTATTATCTAGATGGACCTCGGAAGGACTTCCACCGGATGAGCTTTCTGTACAAAATGGTATCCTAACGCTAAAAGCTTCAAGATTTCCATTGTGCATTGATCCTCAGCAGCAAGCATTAGAATGGATTAAAAAAAAGGAACGAAATAAAAACTTGAAAATTATGTCTTTTGCCGATGCAGATTTTTTGAAACAAGTCGAACTAGCAATAAAATATGGTTTGCCAATTTTATTTCAAGATGTTGATGAAGTTGATCCTGTTCTAAATAATGTTCTATCAAAAAATATTCAATGTAAGATCAAGATATAATATATTTAAGTAGAAACTCGTTGCAAAATACGTGCATAATTGGCTTGATCAATTAAATTATGTTATAGCAATAGCAGGAAGAACCTTCGTTATGTTAGGTTCTAAAGAAGTCGATTATGATCCAAGATTTCGTATATATTTAACTACCAAAATGTCAAATCCTGTCTTTAATCCTGCCGTCTATTCAAAAGCCATTGTCATAAACTATACAGTGACTACTGCAGTAAGTATAAAAATTATATTAAGAAAGCAAAAGGGAAAAGGATACTTTGGTAATCAGTTTGAATTAAAAAAAGGGTCTAGAAGATCAATTATTATCAGTAGTAGTGAGAATCGAACGACCAGATATCGAAGAACAACGCGAAAGACTTATAGCTGAAATAAGTGAAAATAAAAATTTACTCCGACAACTCGAAAATAGTCTTTTACGAGAAATTTCCATGAACGAAGGCAATATGCTGGATAACATTGACTTAATTGAAACTTTAGAAAATACTAAATCAAGTGCTAGCGAAGTGACAACGAAACTCTTCCTTGGTGAAGTCACGGCTGTTGATTTAAACAAATTACGGGACGGTTATCGGCCAGTAGCAAAAAGAGGCGCTATTTTGTTTTTCGTTTTAACTGAAATGCCTACGGTGAATAAAATGTATCAGTATTCCTTGAACAACTACATTGAAGTTTTCATACTATCTTTAAAAAAAGCTTTACCAGATCCAACTTTGGTCAAACGTCTTCGTAATATTATTCCAATATTGACAAAAAATGTTTATGATTATGGATGCACAGGAATATTTGAAAAACATAAAATTCTTTATTCATTCAAAATCTGCATAGACATAGAACGAAGTATTGATAATGTCAAACCGCAACAATTGGATTTCTTTATAAAAGGATGCGTTACTACTAAAATGTCAAGTAAAGTTAATCCTATTAAGTGGCTAGCTTCCAGTGGATGGGAAGACCTATTAAAATTAGCTAATGATTTTCCTGAAACCTTTGCTAGTCTACCTGATAATATTACAGAAAATATGGACCACTGGAAAAATGTAATCATTGTTCTAACTTTAAAAAGACTATTACAATATACAATCATTATATCATTATTTTTTATATATTTTAGTGGTATGATTTGGATGATCCAGAATCACAAAAATTTCCTTCTAATTATTCTGCTGTGTTAAAGCCATTCGAAAAATTAATGTTGATACGATGTTTCCGTGTGGATCGAGTCTATCGAGCTGTCATTAATTATATAACCGAGATTATGGGCGAAGAATATGTAACACCGCCCCATGTCAATCTGGATTTAATTTTTCAACAATCCACTGCTATGACGCCAATAATTTTAATTTTAAGTCCCGGTTCGGACCCTACTTCTCAGTTAATGAAACTAGCAGAACGATATGGTTTCGGTGGTGGAAAATTCAGTTACTTATCACTTGGTCAAAATCAAGAGAAGGTAACTTGTTACATACTGAATATTATATAATATATTACAATATAACGCGATTTTAATATCTGACGATAATTATTATCTGTTACTTCAGAATGCAATAGAATTATTAGAAACAGCTATATTTAGAGGACAATGGTTAATGTTACAAAATGGTCATTTATTATTACATTTCATCAAAGAATTAGAAAGCTATTTAGACAATTTAGAGAAACCGCATCCTGATTTTCGACTATGGCTTACCACTGATCCAACTCCCGATTTTCCCATAGGAATTTTACAACAATCTGTAAAAGGTTCAAACTTCCTATTTAAAATGAATCTATTTCTATATCTCAATTGGAATAAATAAAGAGGACTAATATTATTTTATATATCTTTGTTTTCAGTTGTTACAGAACCACCAAACGGTTTAAAACTTAATTTACAAAATACTTACTTAAAAATGCCACCACAGACTCTGGAGAATTGTAATCATCCTGCATATAAACACCTCATCTATGTACTAGCTTTTTATCATGCAGTTGTACAGGTATACTAAATATATATATACTTTATACTAAATATGAATTTTTACTAAATAAAAATAATCGATTCGTAACTTTTTACTGAACAGGAAAGAAGAAAATACGATAAAATTGGATGGAATATAAGTTATGATTTTAACGAATCCGATTTTAATGTATGTACTTCTATAATAGATACTTATTTGACAAAAGCTTTAAAGCTTAACGATGCAAGGATACCATGGAACAGTTTAAAATATTTAATAGGAGAAGTAAGTGATAATTAAAGAAAATTGAAATTAAAAAATAAATTGATGACACTAGATAAGGATATTCACAATTGTTCAAATTTTCAGGTAATGTATGGCGGAAGAATAATCGATAGTTACGACCGTCGAGTATCGGAAACTTATATGAATGAATTTTTTGGTGATTTCCTATTCAACACCTTTCAACCTTTTCATTTTTATCAGGACAGCTACGTTGATTACGTCATTCCACCAGAAGGGGATCACGAAGCGTATTTAAATTTCATCGAAGAATTACCATTAGTCAATACTCCAGCAGTTTTTGGTCTTCATTCTAACGCTGAAATTGGTTACTTTAATCAAGCTACTAGAGAGTTATGGGCCAATCTGATAGAGCTACAGCCACAAACAAGTATGAAACAGAGAAAAGAACTTCTCACAATCAGACAAGTGCAATAAATCGTGTCATTTAATATTTGTTATCATAGCAATTAGCACAACAGGAATCAGTAAAGAAGAATTTATAGACAACATAGCAAAGGAAATTCTTGAAAGGATACCTCTAGAATTTGATTTAAATAAAGTAAAAAAAAATTTTGGAGTGGGCGTCACACCATCGACAATTGTGCTTTTCCAAGAATTAGAAAGGATTAATAAATTAATAAATGCGATTTCAAAGACTCTTTCTCAGCTACGAAAGGTAATAATGAACTATTATATATTTAAGAAACGTGTAGTAAATGCGTAAAATCATTTTGCAAAATTAATAAACTTTTATTTATCAATTTAACAAAATAATAAAACTTTTTTAGGCTATTGCAGGAGAGATAGAAATGGATTCTATTCTTGATAATATTTCTATTGCCCTGTATAATGGTATTTTACCTAAGGAATGGCTCAGATTAGCACCAGATACAAGAAAAAATCTCGCTAATTGGATGGATCACTTTCAAAAGAGAATTACACAATATACAGATTGGGTTTGTCGATATAATCCATTCATACGATATTTGTACAACTAATGGCACATAATATATATTCATATTAATATGAAAAATTATTTTTTAGTCTGGTGCCAATGAACCAATAGTTATGTGGTTATCTGGCTTGCACGTGCCAGAAACTTATCTAGCAGCTCTAGTACAAATAACATGTCGTAGAAATAACTGGCCGTTAGATCACTCGCTTATTTATACGACCGTAACTAAATTTACTAAAGTCGATGCTATAGAAGAAAGGCCTGAACAAGTACGTGAATAAATTACAACATGAATAAATGAATTCTCTTAACAATAATACATTTATATGAACTTACGTAATAAGTGTAATTAAGTAATTATTTAATTTTTAAACGAAAGGGTTGCTACATACATGGTCTATATTTGGAAGGAGCTCGATGGGATGTAGAAGAAAACTGTCTTAAAAGGTCTTATCCAAAAGTTCTTACTGAAGAATTACCCATTCTTTTGGTAATACCAATTCAAGCTCATAGACTCAAACTTCAGGTATATTTACGATAATATTACAGAAAGTATAGATTTCAAAAACTCATTCTGATGTTTAACCATTTCAATATATTTTTGCCATTCTTTTCTTTGCTATAAATTTATGTAGAATACAGTAAAAACTCCAGTGTACACAACATCGAATAGGCGCGATGCAATGGGTAAAGGTTTGATATTTGAAGCAGATCTTTCAACGGAGGAACATGTTTCGCACTGGATTTTACAGGGTGTATGCCTTTTACTCAACACAGACTAAATTAATTTCATAATAATAAATAACAATAACAGGTGTGTGTAATAGACTTTAAAAAAACTTAAAAACTTATACTATAATCTAGAAAATAGATTGACATTACAATCATGATTATTCCTATAGAGATTATTCTTTTAGTTAAGTTAAATAAAAAGATAAAATAAATTCAATCGGTATATCAAGTTATTTTGATCTGCGGTAAACAAAGATTGTAAAAAGAACTGTATACAAAGTCTTCAATACTTAGCCATCTTACCCATTGTTTATTTTTTAATTCTTCAGTGCTTTTAGCTTTACCTATAAAGTGTGGATCAATGATTAATAAATAGGCTTCTTTCGATCCAGTATGTATACCAATGATACATTTACTAGAACAATCTTGATCTCCTCCCATCATAATTGGACTTCCAAATTCTTGAAAATGCTGTCTAATAATATGCAAATATTTGGATAGTTCTCGACCACTTACAATGTGAACAATTTTACTACTTATATTATATAAACTACCCAGAACAAGACATACCTATAAGTTGAATAACTAGTACATAGCTTTCTTATTAAAAAAAAAAATGTTGAATAGTATAAAAAATATAATAGTTATAATAAAAGACTCACTTCGAAGCATCCTATCCAATCCCTCGACCCGATAAATGATTTTTCCTTATCCTCCAATGCAACAAGCGTTTCTTGTATTTTTGGTATGCTTGGAACTTCTTGTTCTAAATTCTTATTAATTATAATCCATGAGCAAATTGTCTGCAATGTTCTATACCCACAACCCCATCCCTAAGTAAAATATCCTTCGATTACATATATTATTCTTTCTACATATTATAATCCATTTCATTTAGAAAGATATACATTAAAATTATCTACCATATCATTAAAACCATCGCAACCGTAGTGCCAGTATTCATAAATACCTCGTATAACTGTACTCTCCCTTTTATCGAAGGTAAGAAGACTTTCGTGGATATTCTTTAACAAATTAGTAGAATAATCGACTATCATTTTGTTTAATAAATTAAGTCCAAATGAATGCTTTTAATTTCAACAATCTCAACACAAGTATCACGATAAACAACAATGAACACAAGTGTTCTGCCATGCAATATTATCGGGATTAGGATAGGTTTACAAATGCGATAAAAAAAGAACATCATTGTAAATAGGTGAGTACAAACGGTATAGAAATATGATAGGAATGGACCATCTATAAGTACAAGACCAATGGTTCTAAAGATGAAAACTTATACAAAATAGCACTGAGTGGCGCTTCGAACGTTATCAAATTTATTTCCAAATTGTTCAATAATACTGCTTTTCTTGAAAAGAGACAATATTGTTATTGCAAGTTGAATTTGACAAATCGGAACGTATAAAAATGTTATCCAACATACTTAAAAAATTAATAAGTAAGTAAATATGGTTTTTTTTTCGTTAAGAAGATGTTATATTACAATTATACATACTGTCATCTTTTTTTTTTTGACCAAAAATATATTATATAATTACATATTTTCTGTCGTTTATTTTAGCTCCAGCAGGACATAAATGGTTGTACAATGCTGCTGGTTTTAATCAATATGGTAAAAAAAAATTTATTCATCAGTATTTATAATACGTTAAGCAATTGCCATTTATTTTTATTAACAAAAATGATTAAAATTATAAACTAGTATAGATATACTCCTTTATATTATATACTTTACGTGCATGTGTAATAGCATACAATAGTGTTAAAAAGAACATTTGAAAAATTCTAGGATTAATGCGCGATGATCTACGAACCGAACTTGATCCACGTGTAGAAGAAGCATTAAAAAGACTTCCAGATCATATAATGGATGAACGTAATTTCCGCATAGTAAGAGCAATGCAATTGGATGCAATGAAAAGAATTCTTCCCCCAGAACAATGGACTAAATACGAAGATGTAAATGATTTATTTTTTCTAACTCTACTGTCTTATCTATATATTTTATTTCATTCCTTTATATAAGATTAATAGTAAACATATTTTCTTGTTATTACTTAATGTGTTATTATTTTTATAGGATGTATTATATCTTACCCCATTAGTAGACGAAGTTATTAAAGAGCGAGAAGAAAAGGAAAAATGGGATTTGGAATAAAATTGATATTAGAAATGTATTAGGAATAATTGTATATTTTATAGGACACTGATACATGTTTCATTTAATATGAAGAATGTGTCAAACACATGGAAATAATGTATAAATTATAAATATATTAAATTAAATAATTTATCAATTTGTTTTGTTAATACACAAATTATTAACCACGCCTTTTATAATAAATTGACAAATGCTTCAAAGCCTTTACGTACCCCCTACGTGCTTGCTATTGAATTTAGAATGTATAGAAGTAATCATAAATAATTTCGTTCAAGAAGTTCAACGTATGTATAAAACGAAAGTAATCGCATGATCATTATAAAAACAATCAATTTTGATTAATGAAGAATTTGCTATAGTTATAACGAGATAGACGATTAACGGCAATCATGCGTTGCACCGATATATTTAACGTATTTAACATCCTTTATGCAACCTTAAACGAGTCATTTCCTCGCCCGTATAAATCGTAGACAATTCATAGTGAAATATGAAAGAGTGTCGGTGAAATGAACAAAAAATGAGGAAACAAAATAAAAAAATCAAAATAATATGTAATTTCGGTCAAATAATTACAAAATAAATCAATCCATAACGTCTATAAAGGAATTTCGCGGGTAAATATTGGATCAATATCTCAGTCCCTCTCCCTTCGAGGGGGATGTGACAAGTATCTCCCGGTTATAAAAGACTTCTACATTAGGTCGCGAACTCGGCGAACATTTTTATTTTCGATATATTTCGCATTTGATTAACTCTAATTGAAATATCGAAGAAGGCATCAAGTTGACAACGACCGCTAATGATCGCATCGAATCGTATCGTTCTACAAAAAGTGCTCAGTTATAAAAGGTATGAAATGAGAAAACAAGTAGAAATCATGATGGCAACGGATAGAGATCTCTAAAAGTATAAGCACGCTTTATCGACTAAAAACTTTCCTAATCTTTGCCGTCAATGAACTTATTCCGTTCTCGCTATTCAATTATCATATACCCCTAACCGAATATAATTTTTCTGATATTAAGTCTAACGATTTTTCTTAAAATTACTTACTCTTTTTCATTTAGAATCAAATATTTTTTGTTTTATCGATTTAACGATAAAAAATAAAAAACTAGATCGCGATATAAGACAATGAAAAGTAAAAAGTGCAAAGTGCAAAAGGGATGTTCCAATCTCTATGAAACTCGCCGTAAGAAATTTGACAAAATTATAATTTCTCTGTTAGAAAATTTCCATTAAATCAATGTCAATTAAAAATTGAGAAGTAAGCATAATATTACTTCGAAAAATATATTTAATATAAGGATTTAATTTGATTGAAAATAAATTAGTATGTTCTTTAGAATGTATTACATAATTCCTTCATACATTTTTCTTCCAGATGTGGTCACTGCAAGAACTGGCATGTATTTGTGAAAGAAAGATGCTGACAAAGGATAATTCTAAAACTGAACATTATAATTGTGACCCAAGCAAAACTGGCCAATATATAAGGGTCATCAAACATCAATAATTTAATTGCTAAAATAATAGCAAACTAACGAGCAATAAAGTCATGCCGTTAGGTAAAACAGGTGCTGTATCTAAATACTACCTCTGTTATATGTACAAAAATATAAACACATAATTGATTGTGTTAGAAATAAAATAAATAATATAAATATACACTCGAGTGTATATAGAAAGATATATATTCTGGTGATTAATATTTACATGTACTAATATATAGTACTCTTGAAAAAATTGAAACTATAATTGAAGAGCTTTTTCTTGATATATGTTCATTTGTTTGATATCCATTGTTATGCAAATATTAAGAAAAACAAGTTGATTGCGCCTATTAACTTTAAGACAAACATATATAACGCCAAGAAAAATAATCATCGCATTGTCAAAGCTCAAATAGCACTGTTCATTAATAACACAAATATGAGCATACCATATGACGAAAATCTTATTTGGATACTAATAGTTGGGTTCATAGTAGCATTCGTCCTAGCATTTGGCATAGGTGCCAACGATGTTGCAAACAGTTTTGGGACAAGTGTGGGTGCTGGAGTCCTTACAATTTTTCAAGCTTGCATCTTGGCAACTTTTTTTGAAATTGCTGGTGCCGTACTGATAGGATATAAGGTATAATCTAATAATGAAAGTATTAAACGTATGAAATATTTTTTTTCTGTCAAATTTTTTTATCACTGATATATCCACCATTAGGTCTCTGATACAATGCGTAAGGGTATACTAGATGTCACATTATATGAAGGCCATGAAAAGGAATTAATGATAGGAGCACTTTCTAGTTTAACTGGATCTGGAATCTGTTTATTGCTTGCTACAGCATTTCGACTTCCAATTTCTGGTACACATTCCATAGTTGGAGCTACTGTAGGATTTTCTCTTGTTTGTAGAGGAACAGCAGGGGTCTGTAATACTTACAACTTGTTTAATAATAATTGATTTATTGATAATTATCAATAGCTAATAGTTGTATTCAAATCTACAGGTAAAATGGATTGCCCTAATAAATATAGCAGCATCGTGGTTTGCAAGCCCTGTACTCAGTGGCATCGTGTCTGCTACTATCTTCTGGCTCATAAGAAAATTTGTGTTAAGATCTAGCAATCCTTTTGAAACGGGACTTCATATACTTCCTTTGGCGTATGGCCTCACCATTGCCGTCAACGTCGTTTCAGTTGCGCATGATGGACCTAAATGTGCGTAATCACCTTTTATTTATATTTGCATGTTGTTATAAAAACAAATGGAAGAAAATATTGAAAAAATAATAATTAATAATAAATTTTTAATTGCATACAGTGTTGATGTTGGATAGAATGCCATGGTGGGGTAGCTTGACGGCCGCATTGAGTTTAGGATTATTTTCAGGAATTATTGTTTATTTATTTATTGTACCATGGCAAAGAAAAAGAATCATTTTAACTGATCCTGGTGGTGAAAAAAAGACGGCCTTGTGTACGTGCGATAAAAGCGAAACAACAGCTATGTCTATAATTTCGGAAAATCCATGTAGTAGTAATAGTGACGCAAAAGAAGTTGCTGCACCAAAATTACGTGGTAACAGTAGTGCTAGTCCACTTTTAATAGTAGCTGGTTCTAATGCAGAAGAAAGTCAAACTGAAAATGATAAGAAAGACGAAGAACAACCAGAAGTGTCAAAGTTATTTTCATTTCTGCAAGTATTAACAGCTGGTTTTGGTAGTTTTGCACATGGTGGTAATGATGTTAGCAATGCTATCGGTCCTCTCATAGCACTATGGGCAATATATGCTGAAGGTTCGGCGAGACAAGAAGCTGAAACACCAATATTAATACTACTCTATGGTGGATTAGGTATCTCTGCTGGCTTATGGATATGGGGACGTAGAGTAATCCGTACATTAGGAGAAGATTTAGCACGTATCACACCTACTACAGGCTTCACTATAGAGGTAAATTATCAAAACATATGTTGTAATTAATTTAACTTATATAAAAAAGGAATACATATATTACGTAAAAACGTTCTTAAATTTAAACTTAAATCTTCAATATTTAGCTAGGAGCTGCAGTGACAGTTTTGTTGGCAAGTAAGGCTGGTTTACCTGTGTCAACAACTCATTGCAAAGTAGGATCGGTGGTATGTGTTGGATGGGCATCGCGCGGTGGTGAGGGTGTTTCTTGGAAACTGTTCAGAAATATTGCTTGTGCATGGTTAATAACTGTACCAGTGGCTTGCGCCCTATCTGCAGGCTGTATGGCTATTTTTAAAACATTTCTTACTTTATGATTTTATTATTTAAATAATTTCAGATGATTTAGAGAAGCCATTCAATACTAAAACTGCTGTGAATAAATCATGCAGAAATAAATAATTGAACACCATTTCTTTGAGTTTAAATCATTCACAACCTGCAGAGAAAATTAAACGTTTTTATCTAATAAATAAAATGCAATTATGCAGCATTGTCACATCGTGAAAATGAGAATTGTTTGATATTATTGGATCGATATAAAATCGCGTTGTTATAGCAACGAATATTGACATCTCGTTACAGTGGATTTCCATTACATCGAAGAAGTTCAATTATCTAAAATAATAACAGTAATCCTTGTCCATCTTCTCGTCTTCTTACGTGTCTCTTTTTTATTTTTCAAATGGAAAGTTTACCTCTTATACCCGGCTATATTTTTCACGATCCAAGTGTAAGTTTCTCCAAATTTTCTTTTATTAAATATTATGATATGCGCGGTCGTTATTTTGTAGTACTGAAATATAATGGTGTGTTTAATACTCCTAAAGATTCAAGATTACAGACTCGGGCACAGATTAGACTTTTTAAATGGTTTTCGAATATTAAATGACAGTAAATTCGGTATTGGGGGAAGGCCTATCGATGCTGCATCTCTTGCCTATATAGAGGAGAATGATCCTATACAGTAAGTTATTACAAGCTTTATAGATTATTATGAAAAATTGCTAAATCTGCCGTAAATTTAATTAATTTCTCAACATTCGATTATATAATGACTGATATATTAAACTTAGATACGATCCATCGCTAACGTACGGTCGTGTACGTGATTACGGATATCAACGGTTTGTACCACATTACGCATTGTTCGCGCAAAAATGTCTTCGTTTTAAGGCTTTCTTTCGTCAAGGAGTTTTTCATTCTCCGAACGAACATTTTCGCATTCGTCATGTATACATTATATATTTCTTAGAAGACGATACTTTATGTGTAATGGAGCCTTCTATAGAAGATGCTGGCTTTTCGCAAGGTAAACTTGTAAAGCGTAATAGAATTGCAAAAACTATCGATGGTGATTATTTCCACTGGAAAGATCTTAATATTGGTAAAGATATATGTAAGTGTTAATCATTTCAATGAATTTTCTTAAATATATACCAATCAACAATGCTATTTGTCATTTCCTAACTTACAATTAGATTAATTAAGTAGTTTTAGCTTTATAATACTATTGCTTACAGGCATTTATGGGATAGTTTATCATATTATTGATTGTGATCTATTTACGAGAGAATTTTTGAATAGTCAGGGTATAGATGTAGGAGATAAAGAAGACACGCCGATAGATCCGTACATAGAAGAACGTAAACTGAAATCTAAAGTTACAACATGTCTTACTCGAATACCCGACGATACTAGGCGACGTTTTTTAGAATATGATAGGATGATTTTATCATTTAATGCCAAATGGAATGACGATTTTTATCAAATAATGTATTTCTTAATGGACGATACCATAGCAATACGCGAGCTTCATAAACCCAACAATGGCAAAGATCCCGTAGTAATGCTTTTAAAGAGAATAAAAGTACCGAAAAATTGGAAAAACCTTCCATCATCCTATCCAGGAATATATATGGAATATGGAGACCATGAAATAATAGAATATTACACGCCAAAAGATTTTAAGGTAAGTCAATTGTAGTTAATTGTCTTTAAAAGATTATGATTCGAATCTATTGAATCCGTTTCTGTTTTATATGTAGATAGGTGAGACAATATTTATATTTGGGAAACAATTCTTTTTATACGGTTGTGACCATTTTACGAGAAAATATTATTCTGAGGTAATGAGGATAATTCAGCCCAATGATATTTCTCTCGATTTTCCTACTGATCGGTCAAAACCTTTGTCTGAATTTAAAATACCTCCACATATCAAATTTGGAACGCCCGAAGACACATACGCTTCATGTTTATCCTTTAGATCTAAACCACTTAAAAAAGATGTTATACGACAATTAACTAACTTTCCTCGAAAATTACGTTATTCTATGAAATTGGATAACGTACATCCTGAAGATCAAGATCGTGACTTTATTTTAGAATACAATTTAAGCGAAGGTACTATGTTAATAAAAGAGCTCGAAAAACGTAATTCTGGCCGTCGTGAAGGGTGCTTCTTGAAAGCCACACTAGTTGCAAAACCTGCCACTGATAGAGATAATCCATTATATTACACACCGCAGGACTTTTTTATTGGAGCTCAAATTAATATTTTTAATCATTACTTTACTATAAACGGCGCTGATCTATTTGTATATCGTTATATGGAAGCAAATCCTGAAAAATTTAGTCAGCAGATAAGAGATAATATTCGCAATTATTTTGTACAACAAGAACTACTTCAAAATGATATAATAATAGAAACTAAGAAAATACAACAAAAGCAACACGATGCAGATATCTTTGGTGAAAAAGAAATAGGGAATGAAATTTCTCTAAATTCTCAAATTTGTAACGACGTTGAAGGAAAAACAAAAGAAATGTAGTGAAACATAAAATAAAGTCTTCCATCAGTGCCTTGGTTTGGCTACAGCAAATCTATTAAATAAATCTATTGTTCTTTGTCCATTACAGGAGAGATACAGAGAAATATCAAATATTTAGAATTTAATAAGAAATATAATCAACATTCATGCACGCTATTTTAATGTTATTATCAAAATCATATGACTTACTATAATCCCACGATCCTCAGAATATATTAATCAATTTCTCTCTGAAAATGTATAAATATAAAGATAATTTAAGAGGAATATTTCTTTGACATCAGTAGATCCAACTCAAGATCATAATATTACTGGTATTGTGTGTATTTATATATTGCAGAAGGTAAATAATAATCATCGATTATTGCAAATGTGTTATCACTTTTGCATAAACTATGAATTATAAAAGTCATTTTAGTCTATACAAATGTTATTGTTTCATAAAGAGAAATAGTTTACAATCATGTAATATAAGTTTTGTTTAAGTGTAAATAAACTGAAGCAGAAATCTAGTGATACTATTTTAGACAACCGTCAGCCATTGCTGACCATTTAATTAGTCAATTTAATTAACCGATAATCATAAGTAAGGCTAATGAAAGGAAGGAAGTAATCTTTCCTTTTTAAATATATTTTTTACATTGTAAATTTTCTATATATATATATAATGTTATATATATAGTTGCCTAAAATATTGATTTACTACTTGCATTTGCAGATTGTAAAATTGATAGATAATATAGATTACTGTTTTCTAAATTACGTAGCACTTTCATCAAAAGCATAGTTTTTAGATAGAGATGATCTAGACATAATAATCTAAGCCTAATAGAAAAATGCAAAATAAATCTGTTCCATTGTAGAAATAATTCTAATTTGCAAGATATATTTTTTGTATCCATTCTAGAGATTATACTATTCCACAAGAAAAATTATAGTAACATATTTAACAATAAGAATCTTGCTTTATGAAATACATGTCATATTGTAAAATAATAATCATCCATATTATTGTTTAAGTTACAATAAAGTAACTATACAATATTGTCCCCCTCCATCCTTCTTCTCACTCTTTCATTTTTCCTTGTATAATATCTCCAACCATTTTTGCAATCCATAGTTAATAGAATAATAGATGAATCAAAACAATCAGTTGATAATAACTATAGCTACTATTCAATGGTCAAGCATAATGATTATAACAGAACATTGAATAAGCTCCTGCATCTCTTTAACAAAGAAAGGAAAGCCCTCTCAGTTGCAGGCACCGGATTACATGTCCACTGACGTTTAGAACATTGATTAATTTAAATGACACTTGATATAATATTGTTCTCGCGTAGATTTTTTACATTTTCAACAAAAGTTTAAGCATTTTACAAGAATTAGTCCATGTATTACAGTTTTTTTCCATCTGTTTCATATCCTGTTTGTTTGTTCTTTTTTTTTGCTTTTTTTCATTCATTTTTATTAATTTGTACGTTTAAGAAACACCTTTCGACGAATAACACGCAACACCACACTAGATACTTATTACCGTCATCAAGTTTACCCAATATCCTTTGAAATTGAATTACGTTCTTCTTTGTAATATTTATTATTACATAATATTTATTATGTTAACGCGACGCTAATTATCATATGTATTATTAATCATTTAACAAAACGAAGTGGCCTTGATGTAGAGAGTTCTATGATGGAAAGGCAAGGCCTATTTCAAATCCTGAAAAGCGAACGTGTGGAATAAGATGATAATTAGTCGCAGCGTTCTTCTTGTCCATTCATTTTTCTTCCCAATAATAATAGTTTTCCACTGTATTCATTGCTACTGACGAGAACCTCCTCTTCCTCTACCACGGCCCCCATCTCGATCCTAAAAATAACGGGGGAAAGAGAAGGAGAAAAGAGGGAGAGAAGGAAGGAAAGATTAGAACATGCGTGTTATCCATTTTTCACGAATAACTATATGTCACTTAGACAAAATCAATGCTTACCTTGCGTTGATGTTGATGAAGATGATGTTGAGAGTGCTGATGATGGTCTCGCGATAGATCTCCTGGATGTCCTCTATTTCTATGGTTGGAAGAAGGGTGATGATGCTGTATAGAATTCAAAGGTGCTTTACGTTGATCTTCTTCTGCTTGTCTTCTTTCATAATGTCCAAAATCATCAAAAATACTAGTAGAATGACGATAAGTATGTAGTATACGCAGAATTGTTACACCTTTCCCATAAAGAACTTCTTGCGCATCCCTTGAATTGGTTACTGGTTTATACTCATTGTTTTCTAATTTAATATGTCGTAATTCAATGTTAGGGACATCTTTGACATAAATCCAACGAACTCTAAATTGTCCCTTCCATTTATCTTGAGACCAAACAGAGCTATTACTTTGATAGTCGACAGGAGAAACCATTTGAGCCATACCACAAAAGTGGCCAGATCCATTAACAGAAAAAAAAAGATACAAAGGTGCGCCTTCACGGCTAGCTTCTCTATATGCCTGATCCAGTCTTTTGTTTCCATGTTCTGTACTACACCAAATTTCGTATTTAATGGATCTATGAATGTCATCTTCTGAATAAGATTTAATTACAAAAAACCTAGCTCCAGGTGCAGTCTGATCAAATTCTACCGGATTATAATCATTTTTCACTTTAAGTTCATCCAAAACGGGATGAGATTGAGTTTGCACAAGTTGCTGTTGTTGCTGTGATTGCTGTGACTGCTGCGATTGCTGCTGCTGCTGCTGTTGCTGCTGCTGCTGTTGCTGATGCTGATGTTGTTGTTGTTGTTGTTGTTGCTGTTGCTGTTGGGCTTGATGTTGTTGATGTTGATGCTGCTGATGTTGCTGATGCTGTTGATGTTGTTGGTGCTGCGATTGAGTCGGCATATGGATCTGCGATTGGGGAAGTGGCGGAGGAGTTGATTGTTGCCTGTTCCAGCAGGGTGGAGGGGGTGGTCTTTGTCTTTGAACAGGTGGCGGAGGAGGTGGAACCGGTGGTTGCACTTGCGGCGGCGGAGGTGCGGTTGGCGGAGGAGGAGCAGATGATTTTCCTTCACCCCATGTTCCTATATCCATATTGTGTTTTCCCGGTACAATAGGTGGTGGTGGCATTCCAGCTTTCTTTTTCATTCCTTGCGACGAAGAAAGCGGAGGAACAGGTTTAGCAGGTTGACTCGCTACACTTGCCCAAGTAACTTTTCTTGGCTCCTTTGCTTCAGATTTTATCTGCTGATTAGATGTTGTTTGCTGATCTTGTCTTGGAACCTCCCCGCTTCCAATCGATAAGCTTTGTACACTTTGTTCAATAGTCTTAATAGTAGCGCTACTCGGTGTCGGGTAACTCTCATTTCCTCTTGGTGCTTGATAATAATCTTCATAGCGAGTTTTTCTAGGTGTGCTCCAAGCACTAAAATCACCATTTCCATGGAAATAATTGAAGGCAGGTTGACCGAATGTACTAAAACCACCACCAGCACTCGCGGAGAACATTCCATCCATACCATATGCATCATGACTTATTTGACCTCCGTATCCAGAGAGAAATGCAACTGGATCTGTTCCATTCGACCAGGTACCATCCCCGGCACCAAACGCTTGATAAGGAAACGATGTTCCTGCATAGTATTGACTATAAGGATCGCCGGTACTAATTGGATAACTTGAATGATGCTGCGTATTATTACTTCCTCTCCATGAATCAAATCCAGTATCTTCTCCAGCAGCATGTTCTGATTGCTGTTGCTGTTGCTGATGTTCTTTAGGACCATTGCTTACTACAGAACATAATATTATATTCAATTAACTTAATAATAATGTACAATTTTCAATGCCTTGAAAATATTAACACATCAAATCACATAATTCTTAATAATTTGGATATTCCAATATGGGTTATGATATATTTTATATCAAAAGCCATGATATTAAGAAACGTACATATAACTTAAAAATATATTATCAAAGCAAGTGTGTTATCTCTTGAGTAAAGACAAGTACATAAATATAAAATATTCATTTCTGAACAAAAGGTAACAAAATTATTTGTAATAATAAAGGTTTTATAAGCAAATACATTTACAACATTCTTCAATTACACTGATACTGCATATTAAATCTTACTTTATTAACTAATATTATATTAATTAATTATATATAAATAATAATAAAACAGAAGAAAGCATTTATGTTTAACACGTTGAGTGCTGTGCTGATTTTAGTATACTTTCCGCTCAGGCAGCAGTAAGTGAGCACTGACACTGAAATATGTGCCAACCTCAACCACATCTTTGCTTAAAATGTTTTAATAAAGTTCATTCAAATTATAACCTAGGACCCAATCCGTCCAAATGAAAAGTCTACTATCAATCCTTAGGGACTGACGGAAAGTTCTCTATCAGTACATAGGGACTGACGTATCACTCAACGTGTTAACTATAGCTTAGAATATATAAATGTATACAAATATTACCTAATTACACAAATACAAACCATAATACACAAGTAAATTTATATTAAAAAATGAAACAAAAAATATCTATATAAATAATTTACTTTTTCAAAAATATATTTGTTTTATCCATTTGTATTATTTATTGGGTAATGGACATTGAAAAAAGCAGAACATGCAAGTTATATCAAATTCTATAATCATTGTTATTTCTTATTTTTAAATTTTCTATATTTTTTTCTGAATGTATACACATATTTGGGATAATTAAATTTCCTCTGTGTGTGTGTTGTGTGTGTATGTAATACGAAAATATATATATATATATAGAGAGGGAGAGAGAGAGAGAGAGAGAGAGAGAGAAAAAAAAGGAAAAAAAAGAAGGAGAAAGGAAAAGAGAAAGAGAGAAAGATTTATAAAATAGAAATATGTAGATAATGCGTTGCATAGATAGTACAAATATTATTTATGTATAGATAGAGATATGGACTAGGTCCCTATACATATTAAACGACATTCTGTTGCGCGCGTGCGCGCGCGCAAACACATACACGCGTTAAAAGTACATACAGTATAAGACGCATACATGCGGAAAAGTTAAAAGAGCGACGTAAAAAAAATGTAATAACAATAAAAAAAGTCTTACCTTGATTGTTGGTTTGCCCTTTCATCCGCTGCATTCCGTTGCATGAAAAAATATAGAAAATTTAGAATGGCTGCTTCAGTGAAAGGAATGTGCAGAGTAGCAGTGTGGTAGCAAGTCAACACACTGACCTGATTTGAGACAGCACCTGCCAATCCAGCTGACATAACCTGTCGTACAGTCCGTCTGTTCTTTACAGACGTCGAAACGACAGCAATGCTTTAAGAAAAAAACAGTTTTCAAATGCAACACCAGAATATTACATAGGACACCGCGAATACTTTCCAAAGTATACGCGATCACTTCTTCAAACGTTCGTCACTATTTTACGTAGATTAGAAATTCTCCCTAAACCTGAGACCTCCGCGAACTGGCCCCCAATGTTCTGCCGCGAGAGAGTCTCAGGAAAGACTCCTTTTTTATCCACAAAATCAGATAAATTTTCACCAAATTTTTCACTCTGAATGCTACCTACGTGACGTGCACTGACCTCTCGTATGTACTGACCAAATGAGTAACTGTCTAAAAATAAATGTCACTGTCGCTTATCCTTTTTCACGATTTTCTCTTTAGGGAATTTTTATAGATGAAATTTAACTGATTGCCTTTATCGTTCACATGTACGTACGCGCGTACACGCATATACATATACACACGCACATATAATATAGACATATAAATCATACAAATATTTATATATCATATATCATATATCGATCTATTCCCTTCATTTGTATAAATTAAATGAATTTTGGACTTTTGAATAGATAAAATAGTAGATAAGATGGTAGCCTTGATATGTGAATTACAGAAAACGGCTGATCAATCAATTATCATCGTAATCTTGCTTATGTGATTGGTCGTCTCTTACCTTTAGATAAATGTCAATAATTCCCCGATCGAGAGACTGTTGTCGTTCTTTCCTTAATTCTTAGTTTCGTTCATCTTGTGTGATTGTGATGCAAATGTTTGGACTTAAAATCTACAATCGTATTAAATCGTATGCATGCAATATAGAACATATATAGATTGCAACAAGGTAACACTATTAGGCTACCTTATATCGGTAGTGTTATTTGTGTTGGTGCAATTGGTAGGGCTGAATGTGGTCCTGCCAGTCATGGCGCTGGTTGATACAAGCATCAGTATGGCCGTTCATTCGGAAGAAATTAATCGGTTAAAAATTCGTACTTAAATTTTCTTTTACGTTTGAATAAGAAAAAAAGAACTGTGATTTCTATATAGTGGAAATAGTATTTGTTTTTCTTTTTGAAACTCTAGACATCGCATTATTTGTTATGAAATCTTTATAAATTATTGATACCTAGTAACATAATGTCATCTATGATTCAAAGTTGTTCGATAACAACTTATTTGTGTTGAACGTGACAGCTTGCTCGCTTTGAAATATGTCTATTCTTACGGTGGCAGGTGATTCTTTTCTAAATGTCGAATAATTATTTTGATTTTTAAGTAAATGTATGTTATATATATATATATATATATACATACAAGTATATATATATATATTTTTGTTTTTTAATCGTTTCTATTGTATCTTAACACGAACGCTTTGTTTTGTGTAATTAATTTGTAATATTCTGGAGTTTCAATGGGTGACATATTCTACAACTGAATTATTCGACAATGCTATTGTGTACATATTAAACACTATAAAGTGGAATTGATACAAAAATATCCTGTATCAAGCATGTATGTATCTTCATGTGCAAGTTTTACTCAATGCATTATACTAACTCCATTTAATATGAGTTCTTTTTTTGGTCATGTTTCGCTCGTAGCTACATTATTGATAACGCAAACGTTTTTACTTATTTTGGAGACAACATTTGACTTTAACATTCTTTCTTATAGGAATAAATCGGTTGAAAATTTGTTAATGTCTAGTCATGATGTAATAAATAGTATAAACTCGTCAAATTTGGGACATCAGAGTGGCGCTACAAATGTAGGAAATGGAATATCAACTGAAATATCTCAAGAAACAATAAATAGCGGAGGTGGTAGCCCTATATCTAGTCCTAATTTATCTCCTCGCCCAAGCCCTAAAGCTCATTGCAAACGAGAATATATTAGATTAAATTCTGATTCAAGTAAAGAGTCCAATCGTGCAAATAAATCTGATGATCAATCGCAGGTGATATTATATTTTATATTAATGTTAGAGTTTCCTTAGCTACACTTCTTCATCAAGTTTTGAATATTTTATTATCCTTTGTTATTTAGGAAGCGATAAACAAGTCATCCGATTCAGTAGATTATAATAAGAGTTCTGCACACGAAAGTAAAAAGGAATCCAGGAATGGAGATAGAAATAAAAAAAAATCGTGGTACCATGTCTTATACCCAACGTACAAGTCTCGATCAGAAGATTTTAAACGAATATTTAAAGATGTTCCGGACGATGAGAGATTAGTTGTAGGTAAGTAATTTTATTTTTCGAAAGGACGTATTATATTTAAATAAAAAAAGGATACAATAAAAGCAGGTCAATAGGGTTAGCAAAGTTCTAAAATATTTCTTACACTTTTTATAGCTTTAAGTGTTATTCATGCGAGACTATATCAATTGTAGAACCTTTATAGAAGAATCCTGAATCCACAAATCAGATTGTGAAACATCTCTATCTATCATCTTTCTCCTTAGTAAGTTATCCCCTGCCACCTCATCTGACATTGCTTTTGTTGTTCAGATATGGCATTATTTAGTTACTTTTTAAGAGAAATTGATGTTATACAAACTCTTTTCTTTTATTTCTTTTTTTTCTCTATTTTTATTTAAGATTATATACATTGCCTAAACGTGCATCTGATTAATATCTTTGAGTATTAAATTTTTTAAAAATTTAATCTTTCAAATTTATCAGAAAAACTAATAGCTTTTACCCACAAACATAGCTTGAAGATTCATGTTACATTACCGTATTCGTTAAATTAGACAATTGTTAGTACTTAGGCGTGTACGCATATCACGTAAAAAGAAAAAAAACAAATTATATTTATTGATATTGTTGCATGAAACCCTGTTGTTTGATCTATCAATTAATACAATACTTTTGTTTTTTTAACAACATAATTAAATATCTTGATTTCTCTAAGATTAAATCAATTAATGATCGTTTACATAAAAATTGATAGTTAATGGATGCACATTAAACTATATTATAAAATAGTTTTATTCCTTTAAATCTAATTTTTTTTTATTCTCCTTGTTACTTCTATACCTTATTTTACATATACAAATTGAATTTTTAGATTATTCCTGTGCCCTACAACGCGAGATATTAGTGCATGGAAGGCTTTATGTCTCTCAAAACTACGTCTGCTTTTATGCCAATATTTTCATGTGGGAGACATTGGTGTCTCTACGTTGGAAAGACGTTACATCTATTACCAAAGAAAAAACAGCACTTGTGATTCCCAATGCTATCTTAATATCTACAGTTAGCGATAAATTTTTCTTGACTTCATTTGGTGCAAGGGACAAGACGTATTTGATGTTATTCCGTGTTTGGCAAAATGCTCTGATTGGTCAGGTAGGATGAATTTCATATTACAAAGAGAAATTTGATCAAAAGTCTTAATTACGTACTTCAAATCATAAAGCAGACTGTACAATAACATTTATGTGCTTATGCTAGTAACATCAATGCCATATTATATTATCTTATCTTAAAAGTAGAAGCAAGATTAATAGCAAAGATTGATATATAAGTTTTACTTTGATATTACTTACGTATTTATATTCGGATAAAAGTAAAAAAAAGAAATCAATTCCTCATGGTATTTTTTTTAGCCTATGAGTATGGCCGAAATGTGGCAACTTGTTCACACTAGTTATGGGGATGAATTGGGATTAACGTCCGACGATGAAGATTATGTACCACCATTAGCAGCTACAGACGAAGAGAAATTTTCAACGCGATTATCCGTGGAATCATTTTCCGAAGTAATATATTTAATATCAAGTTTTTTATTATGCAATGAGTTATCGTATTTATGTGTATTTATATATTTTATCTTTTAAAAACATAGGCAGAAGGTGCAAGTATGGAAAATTCAACTTCCCCTATTGTAGAACCAATTAATGAAATAGAGGAACAAATTGTATCCTTATCTCCACCCCCACCCCCACTCCAGCCTAGAACAGATCCAGTTCTTGATCCAACTGATCTAAGCGATACGACGGAAAGTGAAGCTGAAAAGCATACTGGTAATGTTATATTTATATTTATATATTTCATTTTATTGTCTTTATTTATTGGCTATAATAAAAAATAAATGTTTTAGCAAAACTTAGCATTCGTGGAGCTATGAAATGTACTTCTCCGCACGAAGGTCGTGAACTCTATAAAACTATTTTCCCTATACACATAGATCAGTTGTTCACCTTGTTATTCACTAATTCAAAATTCTTTTTGGATTTTCACACTGCTCGCAAAACCACTGGTAATACATAATAAATTACACTTTGCAATAGAGAAAACTAAAGTATTGTTGAATATTTGTAATATTGGATTGATCAGACATGATAATATTAATTATTATTTTCTGGTTAATCTAATATATATTGTCTATTTACTAAATTAAAATCCAGATATGTCGTTTTCATTGATTTAGATTTGGTGCAGTCTGCGTGGACGCAGAATGATCAAACTGGTCAAAAAATGAGGACTATTTCTATGACGGTATCGTTAACTCAAGCAATTGGTCCAAGGACTTCGTTAGTTACGGAAACTCAGGTATAAAGAAAAACAAAACCCTTTACATGATATATCTTGTAAATAAAGTAATGCTAAGTGTATTTTACTTCACATTCCATTTAGATTATGTTGCCATGCAGCAGACCAGGCCATCTTTATTGCATTGATGTAGAATGCACAAATGCAGGCATTCCATATGCAGATTCCTTTAGCGTGTTATCTCATTATTGTATGAGCAGCGTATCGGACAATGAAACAAGTCTGGCAGTATATTCACAGATCAAATATAAAAAGAATGTTTGGTCTTTTGTGAAAAGTAAGTTTTTGAAGAAACCCCTCTTTCTAATGAAACATATATTTCTGTTTAATTGTTGAATCTGGTTGTGATAGGTATGATAGAAAAAAGTTGTTGGACTGGACTTGATGATTATTTTAGTAATATAATAAAAGCTTTGAATGTAGAATGCGAAGAAGGTACGGTGAGTGCAGGATTAAAGAGAAAAACACGTAGAAGGAGACGAGCAACGTGTGCAGGAAGTGCTTTACAAAATCATTCACCAGATAATATATCTCCCAACCATCAATCTTTACCTACAGATTTGCCACATATACACAATAATAATGGTATTATGAAATACATAAGTATATCCTCTTGTGTTTGTATTTATAATTTGTAATATAAAAGAAATCTATTTATTTATATCGATTAAATGCATAGGTGCCAGTACTAGAAGCGATGCAGGCATGATAGTTAGTTCGATGCTTCTGGTAGCTGTATTATGTCTGATGATAATCAATGGGTTGTTGTATTACAAATTATGGGGCCTGGAAGAAGCTGCAGCTTATACAATAATGGACTTACATGTTCTTAAGTATGTAACAATTGAAATATAATATTTTATAAATCCTTAAATACGCATGTAATTGTAAGCTTGTATTGCATTAGTTGTTAGTAATTGATAACATATCGTATACAATATAATATTCATATAAGTTATTGTAATTTTGATAAATTTTAATATATGCTTTATCGGATGAATTTATTTTAAACGTATTTCTTATTTATAGGAACACTCCAAAGACTGAAGAAGAATGGATAAATTTGTTACAGCAACAAGAAAGTTTGCATAACGTAGAAGTACGGAAATGGCAACGAGTTTTGCATACCGCTGCACAATTACTTAGACAAGTAAGTCAAACACTTTAAATAAATCTTATATACTGTTTTTTATTTGATTATTTATTAATTGATGAAAATAATATTGTTATTTTCTGTAGACTGAAGAATCTTTAACAGAATTACAAATGAGCATTCATCCTACCGCAACAGAAAAGATGTTTTCAGTATTAAAACCACCTCTGAAAAATACAAATACTCGCACAGGACAACAGAGTAAATCTGAATTATAAATACAATTTATCGGAATAATGTTACGCTCCTTTGTTAGCTCAAGGTATATTAATTAGTAACAAAAACAATTTCTATGCATGTCCATAAACTTACAAATGTTACTTTTACACCTACAATATATATTTCAATTTCAGATTTGTTTTCTCGTTAATGTTGATTCCATCAATAATCTTGTGTATAGTTGAAAAAGGGGAAAGAACTTATTGATGCACTGTGATTATATTTAAAAATTCTACAAAATATATGGAATAATTTAGTGATAAATATTTAAACATTTACTATTTGTATTTGACATTAATGTATTTCTTAGTGTTACTGAATATGTATGTATAATACTTTACACAAATTTGCTTTACATGAGAAAAATAATTAATTCTGTTATAAATGTCATAAAATAGATATATTTAATGTAAAACATAACGAATGGATTACTATTTCAAAACGACTTTGATTTACTAGGTAGGGTTGCATAATTGATTATTTAAAAATAATGAATTGGATTAATCTATCTTTATATTAATAATCTTTGTATTTTAAGATTGTTCTCTACCCCTACATAAATATGTAGAAAACAGAGTTTAGGTCAATAATGAATTCAGATGTAAATCTTAATCGGTTTTGATGAACAGTCTCTTTTGAAAGATTAAAGTTGAAGCCAGGATATTTTTTTTCTTTGAAAAAAATATTTAGTTATATATATTGGTATGATTAGTACAATATCATTGAAAGATATTATAGATATCTATTTACAAATTTACGAATACATCAGAAAATAAGATAAAGAACTGAATTAAAAGTTAACATAAATACAGTATTTAAAAAGTTTATTCCATTAAATAAACTGTTTACATATTTCTCATTTATTTATCTTCTGGTTTATTAAATACAAGCGTGTATCCACATTTACCGCAATAATGACGATCTTCCATTGCTGCCATGAAAACGCCAGCCCCACATTGCTCACTAGGGCATTCTCGTCTTAGACGATGGATCTTTCCATTCTCATCGACCTACAAAGTATAAAGATATACATTGAACGTGCTATAATAAAAATCAATAAATAAATTGCATACGTAAATACATACCTTGTAGAATTTGAGCACAGCAAGCTTGACTTTCTTCTTCTTGTGCTTGATTTTTTTAGGAGTCGAATAATTCTTCTTCTTACGTTTTTTTGCTCCTCCTCGTAAACGCAAAACCAAGTGCAAAGTAGATTCTTTTTGAATATTGTAATCTGATAAAGTTCTACCATCCTCCAACTGCTTGCCAGCGAAAATCAATCGTTGTTGGTCTGGAGGAATTCCTAATAAAAACAAAAAAAATTTATTTTTTCATATAAAATCTTTTACATCTTTCCCTTTACTCTTTAAATATGTGTTGCATTCTTTCTATAATAGATTTAATAACCGGTCGATATTTACCTTCTTTATCTTGAATTTTAGCTTTGACATTTTCGATAGTATCGGATCCCTCTACCTCAAGGGTGATGGTTTTCCCTGTGAGTGTTTTAACAAAAATCTGCATGATGACCGTCTCCTAGATCTTGCAAAAATACCAATTTAAATTAGTAAATTAATAAACTAACAAAATAAATTTAACCCTATGATGTTATTAAACCCCACCCCCAGATCTAATAATAAATTATATTTAATAATTTAAGTTTTTGTTTCTTATATAATTTACATGTGACGAGACTCAAAATAATAATCAATACGCAAACCAACATACATTATTTTACACTCATATAGACAAAAACGTATATGCGTCGATAGACCGTGGTGACAACTTTTACCATACGCATATATGCGTCCAAAGCAGTCAAAGGGTTAAATAAAACATACAGATTTGCGATGTTCACTCATTACTAATGTTGAAGTGTCTTGTATCTAATATATATTGGTTTTACATGTAGTGTGTAAGAAGTGTGTAGATAATGTGACTGTGAGAATGTAAGTATAAGTGAATGGACGCATGAAAACTAGAATAAGTTACAATACTGAATAAATTAGAATAAGAAAAAAGTATAATATTAGTATTTTTATAGCAGAAATAAATCTAAAAATAATAAAATAGTAACCTCTTCCATATTAACCTTCAACAATTAAATTAATATATATTGTGACTTTCCGCATTTAGATAATATACGAGCATACAACACGTCGTAACAAATGCATCGAACGTATACATCCCTACTATAATTCGCCGGAAAAACTGATTTTCCATCGTTTTAGCATCTCAAGCTTGCGCGAGCGCACACACACACACACGCCATGTGTTAACGCAAGTTGTAAATAATACGCGTTAATTGTTTTAAAATAATTGTTTACATTAATACGGGGAGCAGTGATTGAGATATCAATCGTTCAGTAATATTAATTTCAACAGCTTGGTGAGATAAATAAAAGTAAAATAAATTGAAGCATACCTGCAGCTTTGATATCCGACAGTGGAAAGAAAGAACATAGAAAGATTAACTAAAACAATAATTGTATAAGAAAGTGAAACTAGTGTTAAAATATTGAGCGGGTATCAATCGCGCCATCTGTCAGTGGCTCTGAATTCCTCTAACTGAAGATCTTTAATTTTAGTATATCTATGACTATTTGTTGGTATCCGTTTATCACAAGAGATATTACATTTACAGTTATACATAGTGCTTGAAATAACATTGTCATTAATTGCTATAACAGGGAATAAAGTTGTAATTTTATGCTTACTTAAAATAAGTTGCGTCTTAGCATTCGAAGTGTACGGACGTTCAGAGTGTTGATCCGCGTGTTTATAACTTTATTGTTTACATTGTACGTATAACGAATAAATACGTTACCTGGTTGTTTAATTTTCAAATTTAACAAATCGGTCACCGGCTCATGGCAATAAACCTTTCGCATATCCTTGACCGGGATAT